TGATGTTTGTGCTGATGTTCAATGTTTTATGTTATGAGTGCTTAGTGTATATTTAGTTGATGTTTTTCTTAGTTCATATCTTAGATGTTATTACTGTTTTTCTTAGACATTTTATTGTTGGATGTAACTGGGACCCTGTGTACATAATTTCGCTCCACCACATGTACCACATGAGGTGCGAATGACAATAAAGAATCTCTGACTGACTCTGATATATATATATATTTAATGTTTTAGACCAGTGACGTCCCAATTTAATCACTGAATCAGGTGTGTTACAGCAGGGAAACAAGTAAAACATACAGGGTGGTGGCCCTCGAGGACCAGGACTGGGCACCCCTGACTAAAGTTTTATTCTGAAAGTCCTGTCTCTTCCTGTCAAAAGGTCCATGTGGTTCTGAGGAGCAGCAGAAATGTCCAGTAACAGTCAGGCACTTGTGACGGGGGAGGCGGCCACAATGGTGTCCCCTTCTGGCTCCGCCTCTTCCCAGGGACCACCCCTTTCTCCGTCCACCACCACTACCACCACCAAATCACCTGAGCTTCCAGGTATGCACCCAGTTCTCACTTCTCTGTCTGTCACCTGTCTGTCTCTCTCACCTGTCGGTCTGTCACCTGTCGGTCTGTCACCTGTCGGTCTGTCACCTGTCGGTCTGTCACCTGTCGGTCTGTCACCTGTCAGTCTCTCACCTGTCGGTCTGTCATCTGTCGGTCTCTCTCACCTGTCAGTCTCTCACCTGTCAGTCTCTCTCACCTGTTGGTCTCTCACCTGTCGGTCTCTCACCTGTCTGGCAGATGAGCTGGTCCAGGCCGGATGGTCCAAATGTTGGTCTCGGAGGGAGAACCGGCCATACTACTTTAACAGATTCACCAATCAGAGCCTGTGGGAGGTGCCAGTCCTGGGTCAGCATGATGTCATCGTGAGTCCCTCCTATAAACAAACAAATAAACAAACAAACAAACAGCTGTCCGTACTGATGTGTGTCCTGGTCTGTTCATAGTCCGACCCACTGGGTCTGAACGCAGCTCCAGCAGAGGGCGGAGACAGTACCCTTGGAAATGGTCAAAGGAAGAGGAGAATCTCTGAGGAGCAGGGGGCGGGGCCTAACAGTTTTAAACGTACAAAGGTACAACTGCCTCACCTGATCTGAGTGACACCAATGCGCAGTGGCTTATGGGAAACTGAGTCCAGTCTTGATTCCAGGTGGAGCCTAGCACTCCCATCTCTCCCAGCACCCCTGGAGCCAAACCCTGGAGCTCTGCCCCTGAGGACAAGCAGGCCCCAACGGCCACGCCCACAACCCCAAGTCCAGCGCCATCACCAGCCCCTTACAGACCAGCTGTGTAAGTGCTGAAGCCGTGCTCCCTTTTGCTTTTTGTTCCTGCAGGATTTACTGATCCAGGTGTGGGTTTTGGTTCAGGATCTACTGGGATCTGGATGTTCAGACCAATGCTGTGATCAGAGAACGACCCCCTGCCAATCACCTGCCCCCCCACCCTGAGATCGAGCTGCAGAGGGCGCAGCTCGTCGCCAAGCTGAGGCAGCACTACCATGAGCTGTGCCACCAAAGAGAAGGTACAAAACACACCTATAGGAACCTGTAGCTTGGCTAATAGCTCCATCCAAACCATCGTGTCTGCTGCTGTGTGAACATCTGAACAGAAATCTGTTTGAGGAGTTTCAGTCAGAGCTCATCGTAGCACAGAAACAGCACTGGTGAAAGTTACTAATTATATTCTCATGGCCTCTGACAATGGACTTGTGTCTACGAGGTTCTTTGTCATTCACATCACATGTGGTACATGAGGTGAAATGAAATTGTGTATTCAAGGTCCCAGTTACACCCAAAAATAGCAAAAACATAAAGTATAAAAAGAAACGGCATTCAAGAATCTAAGATATACGCTAAACAGAAAAAAGTAAAATAACATTAAACAGCAGCCTGAACATGAGTCTGTTGTGAGCAGATGGGTATGAATATATTAGCTTCTGGGTAAGAAATCAGCAGCATGGATAAAGTAACAAATCTCCAATTAAAGTGTCGTTACAATCCAACATTTTTCAGTCAGGTCATCTGGACAGTTTCTCTTTTTGTGCTGAAACGCTTCGCCTTCGATCCAGAAGGCTTCGTCAGTCAAGGAAACACACAACACAAAACTGATTCTTCCCCCAACCCAACAAAGTGGAACAAACCAGTTATGTTGGTGCTAAGATGGTCTCTTTGGAACGCCCTCTCCTCCATTGCCGGCCCTCTTCCTTGTTGACAGTCGTGTTAAACTGGTTGAAAACAACAAAGTCCATGCTCAATAATCCAGGTATACAAGCCAACATATTTCAGTCAGATCAGTAGGTGTGTTTTGCTTCTTCTGAAGTCCACGGGGGTCAGAGGCGTGGTGGATGGCATCACTTCCCTTTTAAGAAACACTTGTTCCTCTGTCATTTAGCTTAACAGGTGCTCATCTCTTCGGGTGGTTTTGTTGTCGGAGAGGAGGCGGAGACACCTCCATGTTGTGCGTTAGCTTGCAGCTACGTTAGCTTGCAGCTACGTTAGTGACATCAGCTGTTGACCGGCGGGTTTGGATGTGTGAGAGAAACGGAGCGTGTAGCATCTTAGCTAGCACGTCTATATTGTGTGCGGCGAGATTTTGCTTTAAGAGTTGAAAAGTCCAGCTGATGGAGTTGTAGAGGATAAGAAGGAGAAATGTGACGTTGAGGAGAAAGAAGCCAAGTAACAAGTTTTCTGGAAAGTGAAATCAGTAAAATCGTGATGGAACAGTGGGAATGAAAACAACGGGAGAAGGAGTTGGATGTTATTCCAAGTGGATTGTGAAGGAAAGGGGAATAAAAGTTATGAAGTGTAGAAATTGTGGCAGCAAGGAAGGAACCTGTAAATTATTTTTGTTTTAATAATTACATACAGGTTGACAAAACTGACAAAAGTTTTTTGTCACTTGCTTGTACAGTAACTTTGTGTTGTGAGGGCTGCATGATGCAGGTTACTTTCTGATGCAAAGCCCCTAAATTCTCTGCTGGTGGTTGTTCAAATGTTCATGGGTGAAGTTAATGTTCTTATTTTTAAACACGCAGTAAAGTGTCACCGTTACTTATCGCAATGACATGTTGCGTTACAAATAAAACAAAATAAAAAGTTAACTAAATAAAAGTCAAGTGCACCCCTAAAGACATTGTGATAAATTGTGCCATTACTTTAATTATTTTAGCCATAGGACTGAGTTTAAAAACAGGATGATGCAAATATGGACTAGTTTGAATGAGGTGTCTCTGAAATATCCTGATGCATGATCAATAATTTCAACTATTTTCTTTTATCCGTCCAGAGGACCTGACTTTATTTTGTTGATGTAACTTATGTAGGTCAACGTGGATTTTTAACAACCCATTAAAATACAAAAGAATGCCATTTAGTTTATTCAAAATTTTCTTTATTCATTCATTTTGTTTATTATCTGGATGTCCAAATACTTTAAAACGTCTTCAGTTGATCCAAAATGCTGCTGCCAATGTTTTAATGAGAGATGATAGGAGAGATCACACGTCTCCAGTTTTAGCTTCTCTCCATTGGCTCCCTGTCAAATCCAGAAAATAATTCAAAATCTCACTTCCTGTTAAAAGGGAGTTTTTCCTTTCCACTGTCTCCTTTGTGCTCGCTCAGGATGGAAACTGTGACAAAGTGAAGATTCAACACTGCTGCTTCCTGAGATGGATATCTTTAACTAATGTCTTTTTTTAATCCAACAAAGTTCAGTCAGGTCATCTGGATGGTTTTTTTTTTTTTTTTTTAGACGTTTCATCCTTCATTTTTGAACCACTTTGGCTATGACTCCCTCAGAGGAGTCGACAGGGGAGAGGGCGGACCCCAGAGACCATCTTCCCACCAGCAAACTGGTTGGTCCACTATGCGGGTGTGCTGCTTGTGGGACTCATTTTGTTGTGGCTACTCAGACTGATGAAGTCATTTGGATGAAGGATGAAACCTCTCAACAACAAAACAAAAAAAGAAACGGTCCAGATGACCTGACTGAGCATTGTTGGATTTTCTACCTGGAACATGAACTTTGGTGTCTTTTATAAAGTCTGTGAATGTTTCTGCTCAGTGCCCTGAGACGACTTCTGTTGGGACTTGGACTATAGAAATAAACTGAATTGAATTTTAAAGCTCGTGTTTGGTTCTGAAAATAGTTCCTCTACCTGTGGGCTGTATGTCAACAAATTGTCTCGGTGTCTTTGTGGCTCAGGTATCGATCCGCCTCGCGAGTCCTTCAATCGTTGGCTTCTGGAGAGGAAAGTGATCGATAAAGGCCTCGACCCGTTGCTGCCGAGTGACTGTGAGCCCGTCATCTCTCCGTCCATGTTCAGAGAGGTGATGAACGACATCCCCATCAGGTAGGTCCCTGCTGCGGGTCAGACCAGGTTCTGTAAGCTAACAGGATGTCCAACTACAGTCCTGCCCCTACAGCCTGGACAGGTCTCCAGTCTTAGATCATTACATCAATTAAAACTCATGTTAGAGGGTCTGATCCGTGTTTTCAGCTCCATGCTGCAGCTCTGCTGGTATCAGATCAATCAATCAATCAGTGACCGGGTCTCATCAATCCTGTATTGATCTTTGTCTCAGATTGTCTCGGATTAAGTACAAAGAGGAGGCCCGGAAGCTGCTGTTTAAATACGCTGAAGCTGCCAAGAGAATGATTGACTCCAGGTGGGTGGCAGCAGACCAGAGACCCGGATGCATTTTGTTGGTGTGACTAACATTGACCTTTGACCTGTGCAGGAATGTGAGTCCAGAGAGCAGGAAGGTGGTGAAGTGGAATGCAGAGGACACCATGAACTGGCTGCGCAGGGATCACTCAGCCAGCAAAGAAGACTACATGGTAACCTCCGACCCTTCGAAACTCAAACTTTCACGTTGACGAGTTTCAATTAAAAAATGAGTTCCTGAGCGATCAGATCTGCACTTCCTGTTTGTGAGACACGCCCCTCACTTGGTGACTCTCAAACTTACCTGCCGTGTGTCTGCAGGACCGCCTGGAACACCTGAGACAGCAATGTGGACCTCACGTTGCTGCTGTTGCCAAAGATTCTGTAGAAGGAATCTGCTCCAAGATCTACCAGCTCTCAGTGGAGTACAGCCGCCGCCTGCGACAGACGCACCTGAGCCTGCTACAGGACCCGCCCACAGGTACACACACCTGAGCCTGCTGCACTGCTCGGTTTGCCGGTTGTGTTTACATGTTCCCGTTGTACAGAGGTCTGTGCGTCGTCGCCGCAGCCCCGCCTTGTTTATTGTTACCCGATACGATTGGCGATATCAACGCCGCCCCTCCCCCGAGTGGAGCTGCACTTTGAGAACGACGTGGCGTGTCTTCGCTTCAAAGGAGAGATGGTCAAAGTGAACCGAGGACATTTCAGTAAGCTGGTGAGTCCAGTAATCCGATTACTTGTTGGGTCTTCACCCGTCCCTTCTGACCCACCGGTCCTACCTGTCTCACCTGTGTGTTCTAGGAGCTGTTGTATCGGTACAGCTGTATAGACGATCCTCGCTTTGAGAAGTTCCTGTCCAGAGTCTGGTGCCTCCTGAAGAGATACCAGGTCAGCTGACTGTTGGTCAGCCAGCTTTCTGTTTCTGTAGCGAGGGCTGACAGGTAACCAGCTGTACCTGTGTGTTTGTGTCCAGGTGATGTTCGGCGGCGGCTCTAATGAGGGGACGGGCCTGCAGGGGGCTCTACCGGTGTCCGTGTTTGAGGTGTTGAATCGACAGTTCGGCGTTACCTTCGAGTGTTTTGCCTCGCCGCTCAACTGCTACTTCAAACAGTTCTGCTCCGCCTTCCCCGACATCGATAGCTTCTTCGGCTCCAGAGGGTGAGGCCGGAGCTTTCATTCACCTGTTCAGGTGTCAGGTGATGGACAGGCTTAGACGAGCTTTGATAGATTGATCCTGATGGTGGTCCTAATGACGAAGTGACAGTTTCTGGTTGTTAACGTGGATTTAAATGTCACGTTTTGTGAATACCATCAGACGTTGCTTGCGTTGTTTTCTTGACACCTGTCTGACGTTGACGACAGTAACCTGCATGAGGAACTACTGTGTTTATAGGCCCTTCCTGTCCTTCAGTCCCATCAGCGGCTCCTTTGAAGCCAATCCTCCATTCTGCGAGGAGCTGATGGACGCCATGGTGACGCACTTTGAGGTAAGTCGTCTCTACTGGCTGGACTGGTGGGACTACGGCTTATACTGGCTTCTGTGGGCTGGACTGGTTGCTATGGTCTAATTTGAACTCTGGACTTTCGGCTCTGGTTTTGTCAGGACCTGTTGGACCAGTCCTCTGAGCCTTTGTCCTTCATCATTTTTGTCCCTGAGTGGCGTGACCCTGTGACTCCAGCTCTGACCCGCATGGAGGGGAGTCGGTTTCTGCGTCACCAGCTGAACATCACGGCCTACGAGCACGAGTACCGGTCCGGGAGTCAGCACATCTGTAAGAGGTATCTGAACTGTACCACAGTGTTGTACTTTAACAGCAGGTACTAGAGTCAGTCCAAGGAACTGGACTTCATGTAGTCCCTGAACTGATCCTTTAGGGACCGTGAGAGTTTAAGGCTTGAGGAGTAGCAGTGCACTAACGGCTCTGTAACTCTGGGATTTCAGGGAGGACATGTATTACCGGGCCGTCCACGGAACCGCAGTACTCTTCCTTCAGAACCAAGCAGGATTCACCAAGTGGGCTCCGACACCGGAGCGCCTGGCTGAGCTGACTGCAGCGTACCGCCCGTCTTTGTCCCGCACCTCGTCCCTGTCCTCCCCTGGCCCCGCCCACACAGCCTCTGGAGAGAGAGACTCCGCCCCCAAACCTTCTGATAGGACTCAGAGCAGCATGATGTCGTCTGACAACAACAACAACGGCAGCAGCAGTAGCAGCCCTCAGGACAAGCTGTCTGTGTAGAGCTTGCTGTGACCACGCCCTACATGTATATATGTGTTTTTCAACTTTTCACAACACCTGTAGCACATCTGTACTTCACCCCTGCCACAGACTGGGGGCGGGGCCTCATTTAATGTTCACTGCGTCCTTTTGATGTGTCGACTGCTCCGATTGGTTTAAGCTCTGGAGCGATGCCTAGGTGCGTCAGCTGTTGCTAAGCAACAAATCCGTACAAAGCAGTCACAGCTCCAGCAATAAAAACTCACCTGTGATGTCATGTGACTGTGAGCAGGGGTTCCTACTGGTCCCCACACCCATGCAGCTTGGTGATTGTTTGATAAGGCAGCTATCATTTTTATTGGACTAATCCAGTAGGCCCCGCCTCTAGTCCCCCCTCCTCCGCAGGAAGGAGAGGGCGGAGTCAGAGCTGGAATCAGACTGGTGAAAAAGGATGGGGTGGAGCTACTAACTGGGGCGTGGTTACAGGTGGTCATCTTAAGACTGCTACATACTCACAAGAAGTGAGAACTGTGTTCTCTTGTAGTCCTAGTTTGTTCTTGAGCGTGTTCTCGACACGGAGCAGAACTTTGTTCTTGGTGGGGTTGAAGAACTGTTGCGTGATTGGTCAGAAGCCTGGGGCAGGTGTTTGGAGTTAAAGTGGAAATGTTTACATTTTCGTATTTCTAGGTGCAAACCTTTGTACAAAGGACAGGTTTGAGGAGCAGTCAGCCGAGGCAGTGAGAACATATAAAATGTATTAAAAACCGTTCACTGCGTAAGACACGAGAATGGATCATTCATGGAAAGAAGCAGCTCGAACTTTGTGCACCAGAAAGAGTATTTGTAGAAATAAGTAGAGAAAGTCCAAACACAGTGGAGATGCTGGTGGCCCTGCAGTGGGAGGAACCCCCGACGACCCCCTGGAGTTCTGCGCCGGAGGTTCCCCTGAAGGATGAAAGTTCTAACAAAGAAAAAGAACATTGTTCTTGACAGCTGGAGAAAACACTTTGTTTTTGTGGAGTGTAACGAGCTTCAGCGTGAAACGAGAATTTTTGTTTCATCAGAAAAACTTTTTTTTTTTTACATCATATGAAATTTAATTTTTAATCTGTAATATCTTTTAGGTAAAGCTCCCTAAATTATTAAATGTTTATGTTAATTTATAACAAATCATCAAATCTTTTTAAAAGTTGAGTTCACTTTGATCCAGATCAATCCGGTTTAATCCCATTTGATCTGGTTTGGTCCATTTTGTTCTGGTAGCTCTCTCCATCTTTGAAACGAGCACAAAATTAAGTAAAAGGTAAAATAACTGAGGCTCCTCCCACTTCTGGCCACAGCAGCTGATTGGCTACAGATGTGCGTCTCAGGTATCTGACCAGAAGTGAACGGGTGAATGAGATGAACCCAAACCAAAGTGTTTGAGATGTCAATCAGCACAGGTGTGTGCAGGTGAGCTCCTCTGTGCATGAAGCCATGTTTGGTCTTCAGAACCTGATCCAGATGTTCACGTCAAGCGTTTTAAAGATCAGTGCAACATTATGGATGTTTGATTTGATCAGAAAGCTGTTCAGGTGGAGCAGCCTGGATCCTTCTGACCTGACAACATCTGGATCACAACTTTTTTCTCTTCACCTGATTTTACAGATTAAAACCAGAAAAGGTCTTTGGTTTGTCTTCTGATGTAAACATGTTTCTGTGGGGTCCTCAGCTGCTCTCTGTAAACATGGTGTCTTTCATACTGCCTATAGGAAAACCTGCAGCTGCCCCCCAGTAAAGATATATTCAAACAGGTTATTTTGCTCACGTCAGTCACATGACCACTATCAAACAGGAGTGGCCTTATGGATGCCTGTCACACAGGAAGAGGCCCTACAGACGTCCGTCACTCAGGAAGAGGCATTATGGATGCCCGTCACAGCAAGCGGCCCTTTGGACGCCCGTCTTACAAGAAGAGGCCCTTTGGACGCCCG